ATCTACATTTTATTTGAAATACTCTTCAATTTCTAACAGTGTTTTTTTTTCAGTTTCCGGCAAATAAAAATACAAGTAGATCAATCCAATAAGCCCAATACCACCAAATAGAAGCATGGTGTACTCCAAGGTTAAATTAATTTCAATTGTTAAATATGATTTGGTTAGTATGAACATTAACAAATACGATGAAGCTGCACATGATCCAGCAGCGACTCCTCGGCTTCTGTAAAAATAATGGTTTTAAATACAATTAATGACTTGAATAACTATTATATACATATCTTAATGTAGGTAAGTATTGATAGAAATCATTATGGTTATTAATTTATCAAACKAAAAAAGCAGTCCGTCTAATAAAGTTGTTATATATAAATTTAAAAAGAAACAATACCAAAAACGAATTGCAATGCGTACTGTAACGATATTTTAMTTTAAAAACAAAATTAACTGGAATTATTAAGCTTATTGTAACATAATACATATCATGAAAACTAGCAAGCTTAATATTAGTTCCTAGAGTCATCTGTTCTACGTTTTTATTACCKATATTCTCTAAAATAATATTATTACCAATCGTTTTAAAATCGATTGACTCAAAAAGATTATTCAGTTTTAAATTTTAAAAATCACAATTAGCTTATCGATACGAAAACCATTAAGATGTTGTTTCCTAAAATTTAAATATGTATTTGTATTTATGAGATTTACTTGTTAGGAAAGATTTCACTGATTAACATCCAGGGTAAAGTGCTGATAGAAGTTCCGAACAAGGAAATTCCGCTTAATATCATTGTGGGAATCCAAGGCATTGATGTGGTGTAACCTTTTTTCAATGCCATAATATATAAACTAAATGAAATTAGCAAAACAGTAGTTATCGAAACTGACATTACGGCCAAAAATCTTTTCCCCAAGTGTTTGACGGATAAAACTAGTACTATGCATCCGACGATTTGTAGGACGGCGAAAACAACCTTAGAACGAAAATATATAATATTAATCCAATCAGATACTTAAATGTGAATGATTATTATTTGTGTGATATAATGTATTTTCATACAAACAACAAACTTCGATCTTCTGATAAACCAACTTCATTCATAATTTGGCTAAAATATGGTTTGACAGGTAAAAGACAGATTATGTAGGAAATAAAAAAAACAATCATCACTAATCTGAATGGTCTGTAAACGGACGGATCTATRAGCTGTGCTAATTTTGAAAATATACTGTCRTTTTCAATGTTTAAATTGCCATTTCGAGTTCCAGATACTTCGTTATACCGAATGAGCTCGAGAAGTTCGACTTTGACCATCTCGGGTTTCACCCATCCTCTTAACCAACACAGGGAATTTTTAGCCTTTTCGTTTTTGCCGTTGGCGATCAACCATAAAGGAGATTCCGGAATCTAAACAACCAAAATTCAAATGAAAAAAAKATATAAAACCGTACAACGTATTTATAGAACTGCAGTATAGGCCAGACACCTTCTGGAACCTATCGAATATTATTTAATTAACATACCAACATAACGAGGCATATGCACGTGATTGGACATAGTGTGCTCAGTAATGCGACGATTCTCCATTCAAAAAAATATCCCAAAATGTAAGTCAACAACATTCCCAACATGCCCGCTGTGGACGCCAACGAAGCCATTGATCCTCTGAGTCTCGGTTCGGTTATTTCTCCCACATATGACAATATCGGGGCTTCACTGAATCCTATGCTCAAGCCCATCAGCACGGTGGACGCGTAAAGTGAAACCACCGAGTGTGTTTTGTATAGCATTATCCACCCGAAAATACTGGGAATGTTGGCTAATACCATGCACCGTTTCCTTCCGAATCTTTCCTGCAGGAATCCCGATAGAAAACTTCCRGTCGGATGAAATACAAATAATATACTCCCTGTATACATGATTATAAACAAAGTAATATATTAGTTGGTAAAATCATCATATGCATGACCGATTAAAATATAAGCGTGTTCCTGCAGCTGTTTATAAA